TAATATTATAATATATATATATATATATATATTATAACCATGTCCTACACTTACTCTACTTAATAAACATGTTTCACATTAAACTTTAATGATTTAGACAAATTAAAAAATCTTAATAGATCGATCAATCCTATAAATTTAAAAAAAAATTAACATGCAATAGTTTCATTTTATACATTGATTTAAAACTATATAATAAAATATCATTTAAAAAATTGTTCAAACTTAATATATGCATTAAGAGCTATTAACTCAATGGTTAGATCAATCAAATGTAATGATTAATAATTTTGATAGACTTACTATACTCAATAACTCATGTTCTACATCAAATTTTAATAATTTAATTATTAAATTAATAGTTTCAAATGTATAGATTAAGTTTGCAAAATTTTAAAAAAATTAAAAACCACTTGATATTCTATTTCATTAATTAAAATCAACATATACAAATATTTTTATAATTATTCATTCATTTGAATTGATGAAATAGAGTATCAAATGATTTTTTAATTTTTAAAAAAGTTGCATGCTTAATTTATATATTGAAAACTATTAATTTTATCGATCTAATCATTAAATTAAAGATGTTTTAATGCACAAACCAAGTTCACAAATTAAAAAAAATAAATAATAATAAAACCATATGATACTTGGTTATATAAATTCAATTTAACATATAAAAGTCTTTATAATTATTCATTAATTTAAATTAATAAAAAAAACCATCATATAATTTTATTTTATAAAATTGTAAACTTGATCTATACATAAAAATTTTTTAATTTAACATTTAAATCATAAAACATGAGTCATTGATTAGAATAAGTATACAAAAATTGATTATTAAAATAAGTAAATCTCTCATCTTATATATAAATATAAAACAACTACTATAAAAACATGATAATAGCTAATAACAAACTCTTGAATCAATATTGGAATAATATACTCCTAAGATTAGGATAACATTTATGATGTAATGTCATCATCACCACCAGCAAAAACAAAAAGTGTATGAAAGACAATGATAACAGCATCAACACCAATGGTGACAAGTTGATAATGATAGTAACAATATCATTAGTAATTTATAATGACAATATATTATTCTAGTATTATCTAAGATATATATATATATATATATATATATATATATATATATATATATATGTGTGTGTGTCGCGTACATGCATGTGTGATAATTTTATGTTTTATTAACACTTTTTATTTGAAATTTGAGTTACAATTTTTTATTATGGCTTCATTTTTGTGCACTTTAAATCTTCCATAATAATAAGTTCATAGTTTGATTTCTAAATTTAATTTTATAATTTTAATCTCTTAATTTTATAAAATGTGTAATTTTAATCTTTTTATTAATATATATATATATATATTTATATTTATTGTTAAAATTTTAATATCAATTATAAATTAATATTAAATTAATGATATAATAATTAATATTTAATATTTTTATACAAATTTTATAAAATTCACCATTTTATAACTAAATACATTAAAAAGTTAATAATAAATGAATGATTCAAACAAATTTAATCACAAATAATTTAAAATTTAATAATTGTTGCTTGTAATTAAAATAAGAAATTATAATTTATTGCTTATAATTAAAACTAGTAATAATATTTAACATATTATATATATATATATATATATATATATA